GGATTGATTTGTAATTATTGTGGTTGTTTTGTTTAGTTCTGTGCCTTGTTAAAGGCAGGCAATAAGTTGCAATAATAATAATAATTCCTTTGTACTAATTAGAAAAATTTACATTCTATTCTGTCACAATAGACTGGTCACAAAGATACTAATTTTATTTATAATCTTTTGGTAGTCTGTATATTATTTTGCATCATCTCTTATCTCACAGGGAGAAAATGTTTACTTATAGAAGTCAGCACCATCTTGTGGTTTGCCTGGAGCACTTCTGTTGCATTCTGTTTCGCTTTTTCTTGTGAATTTTCTTTTTAATTATTGATCCTGATCAAGGCAACTCTGTAATTCCTTTTCTCTAAAGTCGAATATATACATTTGAAAGCTGAACATTTAAAATGGAGTTATATGTAAAGTTCGATTTTGCATATCTTTGATGATATTAGTCTGTCTCCCAAGGAGGGAACAAAAGGCTGAAACCTCTAGCCCCATATTCTTAAGGCCAGGAGGCAGCATTATTGAAATAATTTTGACTTTTGTATTTTTGACCTAGCAATTAGCAGGAGGGCAACACAGCCTCTGAGAGCTCTTCCTCTCTCACACTTAGGAGGAAGATGCTAGGTGGGTGCTCTGTGGAAGACAATTGGTGGCAGCAGGAACTACAAAGCTGCTAACCCATGCAGGAATCAGGGACAGGATGTGAAGACCCAAAGGGCTTTGTGGAGGAGACGTCTGGAACTCAGCCTTTCACTCTGTGGGCTCACCTGTTCCACTACATATATTTATAAAAAGCAGCATACACACAGAAAAGTACATAAAGCATAAACATGTTAAGTAGGCAAACATACACTTGCTGAGTGTATAATAGTATAAATACAAATAGAATCAAACTTCCTTATATTCTTTGTTTACATCTAAGAGTTTATATTTTATTTCTTAGAGATGAAGTTTCATTGAAATAGACTTTTGGGAATTGGCCCAAAGATTCACTTATTCTACATCATTGTGCTAATGGTTTTATTGGCATTGGTCCTACTGTTATCAATTGTGCCACTCCTGAGCATAAGATCTAGGCTAAGGTAACATCAAGGAGATGAAGACTTTATGTTATTTTATTACTTTGTATGTTACTTTCACAATAAAGCAACTTGTTCGAGTCTTAAAAATAAACTATATGATCAAAATGAGTTGATCAAAATGATCAAAATGAGTTGATCATTTTATGTTTTAAGTAAACAAGCCTGGTAACCATTGATTGCCAGGCATATTTTCCTGGAAATTAATCTACACAATAAGAACATTAGTTAGTAATAACAATATACTTTGGACACTCTTTAACAGGAAATATCATGCTGTAGCCTTCCTTTCTTGTCTCTACGTATCATCACTGGGTCTCTTGACAAACCCATTTATTAACATTTTTTGGAGGAATAATCCACCTTCTTATGGTATGAGAAGAGACACAGCTGAAGAGAATGAAACAAAGCCACTGGGACAATCTTTGTTTAAAATATGATGTAATTCCAAATGATAGTCCTGTATGTTGGAAAGATTATTTCCCACAAGAAATAATTATTTGCAGAGATTTGCTCATGGCTTATTAGGGAAGTGGATGACAAAGAAACAGAGGAAAATAAACCAGTGCCTTTATGAATAATTGTTAAAGAGTCTTCAGATAAAATTGTATACTTTCTCTCTTCATTTGCAATCTTTTCTATTGTTTCATGATGTATTATTTCTAAGCTTGTCACTTAAAACACTACATTAAGGACAAACAACTCCAATAAATGGAGAGAATACAGACAGAAACAAAAATAAAATCTGTATTCCTTCAATTTTCCCTATCTTTTACAATTCTTATTCATATTATGATAAATATGTGCCTGGCATCAATTTCAACAGCCGTATACTATTCACTGATGGCCAAGTAGGCAATGCATTTAACCAACAAATCAACAAATGTCCCTTTCCTTCTAAAACATTTAGCATACTATCTAACCAAGAGACATGATTTCCTGCCTCTGCTTACATGACTGGCTGCTACAGAACATAGAAATACATCTTTTCTCTAAGGGGAAGCTGTATGAAACCCTGGGATGAGACTTTTTTAACAGCCTGAGTGCTGACTGCCTCCCAAGACATGTCCAGGGGACAAGGTGAATTCCTCTTGAATTTATTTTCACTTTCCAAATCCTCACTCCTCAGGGCCAAATCCACTCAGTAGACAGAAAAGTCTGATCTATGGGGTTTAAGGGCAGGGCTTTTGCCTGGAATTTGGCAGGCCAAGTAGAGACATCGTGCAAGCTTGGGGTTCTTTACATATCACAGAGGCAAAGGAAACAGATATATGTGTGTGTATTTTTAATGATCACTGTATATGTGTTATAACTGGACTGGAGTTTGTACTCTTCACCAGCAATGTAGTGCTACCTCTCTGTAAATTATAGCTTTTTTTTCACACCACCTGTTATCTGAAAAGCAATGGGGAGTGAGGTTACATTGCAGTGAACCACTGAGAGTAATAATTCTCCTTACACACAATTCTTAATTAATATTTGACCCAAAACTCAGGAAAAGAGAACTTACTTTAGGATGATATAATAGTAAGAAAGCATTAGATATTTTCTTAATTAGAAAAGAAATAGAACCACAAAGGTAGAGAGGAACTGTTAGACCACAATGAACTGTAGCTAGGAGTCTGAATGTAACTCTCTCTGGAACACTCATCAGATGGTGACTTTTCGGTCAAGCAAACACAAACCACTATAAACAACTCTGAACAATGCAAATATTAAGACTTGTGCTTATGTTGCCCAGAGAGGTTTACAGCTAAAGAATTGAGGTTTTGTTTCCTTTTTTGGAGAAAGGGCTATGACTAAAAAAATATAGCAAATCCCTTTACATATATAAGAAAGTTTTGGATAGCCTCCATTTCACTTAAACATTGAGACTGCAGTATTTTTTACAAGGGAATTTATAAACCTGCTACAGACTTTGGAGTGTGGGTAGGCATAACTTTTCTTGAAATAAACTGTATGCATGGTCCATAGAGTGCTCAGCAACTACTATGAGGTATTTTATTTCAATGAGCATTTTCGGTGTATTCAGTGTATTCAGTGTATAAAGTAAATAAATTATTTAGACAGCTGATAAAGGCTTCCTTCTACTTAAGTTTACAACACTCAAAAAGCTTGCCAAAAGTTGTCCAATTATCTGTTAACACAACAACAGAAAAAGCCTGTGTGCCAAAGGAGGTAGGGGAAGAGGAGCAGTTATGGACCTTTGTATGCTTTATACATATCAAACAAGTCAACTCCCTTCACTTCAGTAGAGAGAATATTAAAATAATTTTTCTGTAATGTACTCCTCTTGAGATAGGTTGTGATAAAAAGCAAACAGGTCAGGACAAAATACAATATAAATTACTAAATTCTCTATTAAATTACTCATTCCCTGTTTTTATTTGTTTCTTTTATATGTCTATTTCTGTTCTTGATTTATGGCATCACTATTCTGTAGTTACAGACTTTTCCAGACTTTCACAAGGGTGAATTAATTACCAGGCTACATGCAGGGTTTCAGTAACATGCATTCTAAGAGCCAATGCATTTTGTTTTCAGTTCCAAAAGAATAATTAATTTATCATTTGTTTCATGTGTGAATCCATTCATCTGAAATCTTTTAACGAGGGAATAATTCATGACACTGTGTTAGGGAAAACCCCAGAGAACAACTCAGTAAATCAGGGATCCACTGGAAACTCAAAATAACTGCAGAATGATTTACCCTGTTATTATTTTCTCAAGCATTCTTAGCTTAAACCAATAAATATTTTATGCCAGCAAAATAAGTAAACCCCCAAATCGCAGCAGGCCTCTATAAATTATCAGTACAGATTTATAGAATGAGCTTTCAGGATGGCATGCAGTAAAACATAGCTAAAATCAATAGAAACACATAATAAAACAGTGTCAATTAAAATAGCTGCTAGAAGCAGCAGAGACTAAAAACACCAGACATAAAACTAGTTGAAAGCCTAAAGCATCAGGGGACATTAGAAAACCTGGGAGAATTAGAAGAGTGGGCATCAGGCATCCTAGGAACGTTATCTCATGGGGGGGGGCTACTACTGGAAGGACCTATTCCAGAGAAATCACCTGCCATGTTTAAATTAGGAACACTGTAAACTGATTTATACAGAGTCAGGTCATTGATCCACTGTTCAATGGACTTCTGGACAGGACCAGAAACAACTGGATGAAATCACAGGGAAACAGATTTAGGCTAGGTGTAAGGAAACATTTCTGGATGGTAGGAGCTGACAACCAGTGGAATAGATTGTCTCAGATAATGATATGTTCCCTTTTATTGGAGGTCTTCAAACAGAGGCTGGATAGCCACTTGTCTGAAATGCGTTAGCAGATCCTGCACTCGGTAGGAAGTTGGACAAAATGACTTCTGAAGTCCCTTTGAATATTACGGTTCTAGGATTCAGAGCTGTTTTTATTAACCAGTTCATCGCTGTGTCAGAAAGGTTTTTTTCCCTGTCTTTACCTGAACAGAGCAGAGAATGCCTTGATTTCCTGAAAACAAAGCCTATGGTCTATCATTGAGCCTTATAAACAGAAGACACCTGTCTAAGCAGAAATGTTACCTTCCCTTCCACTAAGAGTACATGAAACAATGGAATTCAACAAACAGTCCTCCTTTCATCTGGTTTGCTTTGGAGCACTACTGAAGTGTTAAAAAAAATACTTCTTTAATGTGTATCCCATGCCACTATGAAAACTTTACAACCACAGGAATTTTACTGCCTCTAATTTCAGCAGAACTTTAATGGTGGCATTTGAATGTAGAATCCAAATAAATAAGTAAACCAAACTGAAAATTTCACAAACAAATGCTGTTAGATAATACATAGTTGGGCATTCATTCCTAGGAATACATTTCAGACTAAATTGTTCCAGACCTACATCAGTATGCTGAAATAATATTAGTTTTCTCACCTACAAATCCTTCTTTGCTGACCAATTTAAGAGCAAGTTTGTCTGCCAAAACTGAAGAATTACCATGTGCAATATTTGCAAAAGGTCCAGCATGCACAAAAACTGGGGTACCCTAGAAGAAAATAATAGCAATGGGTAGACATATTGAATATATTCTCTATTAAAGCTTAATTAGATGTGACATTAAAAACAAGAGGGCAATCATTTTAAGATAAATACCCCACATGGTATTACAGCATTCTGAAGTTAAGTTAAATATCTGACATGGGATAAGGAGGTGGTATATTGGTATAATATAACCAATCTTCTTATTCATATAATACAACCAATCTTCCAGGGCAACCCCATGTTACTGATGGTGCCATATTTCAGCTTGCAGCATATTATTAAACAGAGTCCCTAAGCACATAAATAAAGTTTCTTGTTGCAAATCCAGGTTCATTTATTGAGTTACTTCATAACAATTTCATTATTAATGTGAACAATTCATTACCTTACTCTGTATTCCACCTCTGTAGCCCCTCTACCATCTGTTCCTCTTTGTACAGAGCTGCTGTGAACTGCAGCTGAGCCCTCTTTCCTTCAACTCATTGTCGTATCTCAGCTTTTTAATCTTAGACCATGTACACCAGGCTGTAATGTACATCCTCTTATAGGGGAATAAGCCCCAAAGAATCAAATGAGTGTGCTTGCTATAGATACATGCACTGAATTTCACAGACAGAAATGAAAAGAAAAATACAATAGAATACCTGCTAGCTCTTTTTCCTCCTTAGATCTGTGGGGTTCTAAACTGATTCAATTGGTGTAAAATTCCTCTGGGAGGAACTGCAACGCAGAAAGCATTAGAGGCAGCAAATTATGTAGATCCTTAAATAATTTGCTACCTCTAGAGCTCTCTGCAGGTTTCAGGCTGGGATACACCATGGAAACCAGATTGGCTGTGCTTGTGATGGAGACCAGGAGGGAGAAACAGATTCCAACTGAATCCCTCCAAGGCAGACTCACATGATTCCAGAGAAATTCCATCTGACTCTGAATGGGCTTATACTCTCACACTCAGAGGTGGTCTGCAATCTGGAGGTTTACCTAGACTCAGAGCTCCTGCCTGAAGAATGAGTGGCAACTGTGGTTAGAGAACTGTTGCACAGCTACACATTGTGTACCATTTGCAACTGTTCCAGGACCAAGAGGACCTGCTCAGGGTCACTCATGCCCTGGTCATCTCCCATTTGAAGTACTGTAACACCTTCTACACAGGGCTGCCCCTGAAGAGCTTTCAGTACACCTGGTACAAAATGTGGCAGCCTGGGCAGTGATGACTTGGAAGCTTCACTTTTCACTGCTTCAGGAGATGCATTGGTTGCCAGGTGTGATTAAAGGCAGTGGTTGTCACTTTTAATGCCCTACAGTGGAGGAAAAAAGTATTTAGTCAGCCACCAATTGTGCAAGTTCTCCCACTTGAAAAGATGAGAGAGGCCTGTAATTTTCATCATAGGTATACCTCAACTATGAGAGACAAAATGGGGGAAAAAATCCAGAAAATCATATTGATATATAACAAAGTATTGAGATGAACTTTTGATATTGACCAAATATATGATTTTCTGGATTTTTTCCCCCATTTTGTCTCTCATAGTTGAGGTATACCTATGATGAAAATTACAGGCCTCTCTCATCTTTTTAAGTGGGAGAACTTGCACAATTGGTATATGATTTTCTGGATTTTTTCCCCCATTTTGTCTCTCATAGTTGAGGTATACCTATGATGAAAATTACAGGCCTCTCTCATCTTTTTAAGTGGGAGAACTTGCACAATTGGTATATGATTTTCTGGATTTTTTCCCCCATTTTGTCTCTCATAGTTGAGGTATACCTATGATGAAAATTACAGGCCTCTCTCATCTTTTTAAGTGGGAGAACTTGCACAATTGGTATATGATTTTCTGGATTTTTTCCCCCATTTTGTCTCTCATAGTTGAGGTATACCTATGATGAAAATTACAGGCCTCTCTCATCTTTTTAAGTGGGAGAACTTGCACAATTGGTATATGATTTTCTGGATTTTTTCCCCCATTTTGTCTCTCATAGTTGAGGTATACCTATGATGAAAATTACAGGCCTCTCTCATCTTTTTAAGTGGGAGAACTTGCACAATTGGTATATGATTTTCTGGATTTTTTCCCCCATTTTGTCTCTCATAGTTGAGGTATACCTATGATGAAAATTACAGGCCTCTCTCATCTTTTTAAGTGGGAGAACTTGCACAATTGGTGGCTGACTAAATACTTTTTTGCCCCACTGTACTTGGCGCTGGACTTGGTTACCTGAGAAACTATCTTATCCTGTATTTATCTGCCCATCCAATCAGATCAAATAGGTTCAATTCCTTTCTGGTCCCATCCATATGGGACTGTCACTTGTCAGGCCTCCAAAGCAGCCATTTTCAATATAAGAGCCCCCATTCTTTGGAACCCCCTCCCAACAGAGATCTCTTCAGTTGCACCCCTCTTGGGCTTCTGGAAAAGGTTGAACCTGTTCCTCCAGATACAGCAGGAGTGCTATAACTGAAGGTTGGGTTTGCAGGAACATGGCATTTGTATTTTCTAGTTTTTTATATTTTTTAATTTTGTGTATTCATTTAAGGGTTCAGATTATTATTTTATGTCAACATTATTAGCTACCCTCAGCTTTTTCAAGAATAAGCAGCATACAAAGTAAAACACATGAATAAAAATAAATTACAAATGAGTACCCATAGTAATTTCTTTTGTGAAAACACAGAAGCAAAACTTTCTGCCATCTTCACTTTAGTATGCTGCCAATTAAATATGAAAAGTAGTAATGCGATGCAGTATAATCATTTGCACATTCAGTGATACAGGTAGTTCTCACTTAACCACCACAATAGGGACTGGAAAATTGGTCATTAAGTGGGGTGGCCATTAAGTGAATCACATGAACAGACCCAATTTTACAGCCATTTTTATGTTTGTTAAGCAAATCACTGTGGTCATTAAGCCAATCATGTGGTCATTAAGTGAATCCAACTTCCCCAATGGATGTTTTTTTGCCAGAATTCGCTTAATAGCCACGTGATTTGCTTAACCACCATCATAAAAAAGGCCACAAATTATGATCACATGACCGCAGGGGGTGTTATGACAGTTTGTGACGGTCATAAACACTTTTTCCAAGGCTGTTGTAACTTTGAACTGTTGTTAAATGAATGGTCGTTAAGCGATGACTACCTGTAATCCAATGTCACGTAGCCAGACTTCAGATTTTCTTGTCACATAGAAGACTCCCTTTTCATTTCCCAGTCTTCTTTGGCCCCCACCCTTCCTGTAATCCCAGAAGCTACTGGAACAGACTTGGGCAGTATCTGGGAGGGGGAATTTGTTCTCCCAATGAGCCCTTTTTTTCTAGGGGATGGATACCAATGAATGTATCCTTAAAATGTTCAAAAACTTGAAAAACATATGCTCTAGCAACTTAGTCTTATGAAGGAAGAAAACGAAGCCTTGGATTACAGATGACTGGACTCACCTCCAAAGTCTGCATCAATGTTGGTTTAATTGCATCCTTCATCAAAACTGCCAAAGCGCCAGTTACTCCCTAAAACAAAGAGACTTTTGTTTTAGTTTTAAGGTTAATGTTACTTGAAACTAAGAAGTTCAGGCAAACTAACCTAAGGCATCAAGTAATTTAGGTAAAAACAAACAAACCTAGAATGGATAAAACTAGAATGGATTATTCTAGCTTTATAGTATGATGGTATCACAACTTAAAAGAAACAAGAAAAAGGAATGGCTTCCATTTCTGTAAACTGTAAAGAGGTTTCTGATTTACAATATTTAAACAATATAATTTGAAAGTAGTAATAACCTGTACCAAATGTAAAATATGTTGAGGCACAGGTCAACAAAGTGTTACTTGGTTTCTTAGCTTGCCATTATTCATGATTACTACCTTTCCCAGGATTTCTACATGTGTTAGAAGAAGGGGAAGATCTGCCTCAGATTGTGTTGGATTTGACAGAAATCAAAAGTAGTGTTTGGAAACTCAAGAGGGGGGAAGGCTTCTTTTTAAGTAAAAGAGTTGTCCAGCTCATTTCATCTCTAACCCTCACAGCTGAGGTCCCCAACCTGATGTTCAGGAATGCCAATGTACTGTGGACCTTTCTCACAATGTCTACCAAGTTCCTTGCCCCACCTGTAAAGCACCAGCTTATCTATATTCTAAGAATGCCTTTGGAACATACAGTAAATGGGCCCCATTTATGTCATCCAATGCAATGTAAGAAATGCAGAATATACAAATGGATGGTCTTTTTCACTCAACACAGAGTTAAATGGTATTCATTGCCACAATTTTTGGTGAAGACAATTAACTCCCTCAATGGATACTATTCCTTGTTTTATGAAATTCAGGCATAGAAGTAGCACACTTTCAACATTAGCTGACAAGCTGTAAGAGGAAAGGGGCATTACCTTAATCTGCACAAATTTCTTAAGATGACTGGCTGAGACCCAAGATCATAATATAGATGGCTTTCCTTTTTTTTTTAAGGAAAGTAGCTACAGGTAGTCCTCAACTTACGACCACAATTAGGACCAGAACTTCCATCGCTAAGTGATGCAGTCGTTAAGCGAGTCACACCCAATTTTATGACCTTTTTGCCATGGTCATTAAGTGAATCACCATGGTCGTTAAGTGAATCAAATGTTCATTAAGGGAATCAGGTTTCCCCCATTGACTTTGCTTGTTGGAAGCCCACTGGGAAGGTCACAAATGATGATAATGTGACCATGGGACACTGCAACTGTCGTAGATACAGTTGGTTGCCAAGTGCCTGAATTCTGATCATGTGACTGCAGGGATGGTGCAATGGTTGTAAGTGAGAGGACTGGTCATAAGTCACTTTTTCCAGTGCCACTGTAACTTTGAATGGTCGTTAAACAAATGGTCATAAGTTGAGGACTACCTATATAAATTATTCAAGTAGTGACAACCTGAAAGCCAAGTTTGCCATATTTTGGAATTTAGCAATCTGTTATTCATGAAGAAAATCTATCTATGTGGTTGCTAAGAGTTGACACCTACTTGATGGCACCTAATCAATCAATCAATCGATATCAGTTTTAAAATCTGCAGATGACTTCCAGGCTTCCTAACTCATTTTCACGTTCTTTAGTATCAGCATAATTTGCCTGATGATCCATTAATAGTCCCAAACTGTGCTTTTTAGATTAAAACTGAGTATGGGTTTTCAATGAAATTCTTAAAGATTGTCTTAACTCAGATTCATTGTAAAGAAATATAGGTAGCATCTCTGGTTGGATATTTTCTTTGTACAAGGGTTTTATTTTTTGTTTTCTAATATTCTTTAAAGAATTAAAGTGGCCTTTTAAAAGTTAATTGCTCTGTAGATGAAATGAAGCACCTAAAGGTTGCAGACAATATCCTTACCTGTACCCTCTTTGTAGAATGAGTAAATTACCATGTAGGTGACTGTATTTCTCTATTTTTCAAAGGTCTTCCCACAGTAACTTGAGAAATGTCATTACTATATAAATAGCTACATATTTAATATTCCTTAAGGCTGCTGAAATATTAATCTCGAGGATACCAGTTTAATTTACCATGGAGATATGGCATCCATCCATCAAACATTCTGTTATGATATAGAAGCCAAATTGCAATCTAGTCTTCAAGACTGTGCTCAATGAACACCATATTTTGGCAACAAATCCTGTAGTTCCATCACTGAGGCGGGCTTTCTAAAAAACCATTACACTTTTGAAAGGGGCTTCTGAGTTTATTAAATATTCAATTTATCTTTCCTTCTCTGCCTCCTCCCATCTCCATTCCTCACAGCATCTGGTTTTCATCGGTCAATGTGTATTTTAGGTTTCATTACACTATGCTGAAGATGTGATACAGCCCTCTTGAAACTCAGACCAAAAGAGAGTTGCTGGGTACATTAAATATTACTCACATCCGAAAGAAATAAAAGAAAGAAGGAATTAGTGGTTTTGACTGAATATTAAATCAGGAATCGTAAAAACTTATGAAAACATTTTATAGAGATGGAAAACAAAGTGATTTAAAAATGCATCCACATCGGGATACATGCTAAGTGTTAACTGAAATATGCACTCAAGTGAAAATAAGACATTCTGAGACCAAACATTTAGGATACTGTTATTAATGTTTTACAAATAGTTGTTTGCAATTGCTCTCCCATGTTCTACTCTCTAAAAGTGATTAAAACAATGGGAAAGCAAAGAGATTAAAGTGCTCTTTAAAAAAAAAGCAAGGAGAACATACACACGTAGACTAATATCTGGTTGTTTGAGCAACTGCTTCGTGAAAAGGTAGACAGTATACAGTATTATCCCTTAGCTGCACTGTATCTCTAAACCCAAAGAAGCATTTTCAAAAAGCATTATATGCTCAAAGCTCACACAGAAACTGCAAAAAGTGAAAAATGGAATGGTCTGTGTGTTAACAGGGAAAACCCCATACTGTCATATATAGATAGTCCTTGCCTAATGATCACAATTGGGACTGGAATCTTGGTTGTTGAGCAAAGCGGTCATTAAGCGAGACACCTACATGCTGCTTTGCTCAATGACTGCAATCTGGGCACTCCTGGTTGCAGTTGTTAAGCGATTTCCTGGGTCGTTAAGTGGACAGAGCAAAAGAGTGATCTCCCAGGTCGTTAAGCAGTGTGAAACCTCCCCACGGAACTGAAATACTTCAGCAGACAAACTCTTTCACTCCATCCTCTTTCCCCTCCCCTCTCTCAGCAGCGAATGGAGCACCTGAAGATTTGAGGTCCGTAACTGCCCAGTGCTGAAAGGGGAGAGGAAACCTCATAACAGTGTGAAGGCAGGGACCCCAAATCCTGAAGATTTGAGCTCCGTAACTGCCCACCACCATGTCCCCTCCGCTTACAACCTTCCCTGCCAACTTCCAATGGGGAAGCTGTCAGACAAGGTTGCAAATGGTGATCACATGATCGCAGGGTGCTTGGCAACCAGTCGTAAATGCGAGCCAGTTGCCAAGTGCCTGAAATGCAGCCACGTGACCGCAGGGGGGTGGCACGACATTTTACAATGGCTGGAAGTACATTATGGGCCATAAGGCACCCTTTCTGAGTCCATCGTAAATATGAACCATCATTAAACAAATGGTCATTAAGCAAGGACTACCTGTAACACCAATACTGTGGGAACTATTGTCCTGTGATCTTTACTAATGGTAATAGTCTTGGCATCTTCCACCATGTATTTCTATATTGGTTGCCAATTTGTTTTCAGGTCCATTTCAAGGTGTTTGTGATCCCCTTTAATATCCCAGAATCTGAGATCACTTACTCTAAACAGAATCTGCCTGACCAAAGCTTGCCTATAGAGAGTGCTTGCTTAGACTCCCCAACCCTTGCTAAGATAGAGCATTTGAAGGAGAGTCTTTTCCACAGGAGAGTAGCTCCTGCCCTCTCACCTAAGATTTGCACCCTCACTTTTCCAACATGCATTTGGGAACAGAGACATGTGTAGACAGAAGTACCTGGGGAATTGGTGAGGTTTTGTCTGATGATACATGGTGGTATGGTTTTATGATTATAATATCATGATTGTTTGATTGTATTATTGTTTGATGAATGTGATTATTTTTATAATTAGTGTATTATTGTGTATTATGTATATCAACCACGGAGAGTGAAAGTCACTGAAGCATTATGAAAACGTTATAAATAAATAAATAATACACACCAAATCTTCTGCTGTCACAGGTTGCCCTTTTGTGTTGTTAGCAACTACAATTTTTCCCAGTCTCTCTCTCATATCAGACAGGCTACTGGTTAGCGCTAAGATTGCCATAATTTCACTTGCAACAGCTATATCAAACTGAGTCTGTGAACAGAAAAGGAAAGATACAGAAAACAGAGACACTTGAAGCTCATAATTGGATACCATATATGTCTAGCATAGTCTCACAGCTGTCATCTAGACTGGGAAGTTTTAAAAAAAAGTACCCAGAAGGACATGGAAACCTTCTGGGCTAAGAAAACAACAAAGTAATCTGTAGTTTATTTAGACACCATCTCAAGCTCACTTGAAGGAGACTTCATATTGTTCTCTATTGGTCTGCAAAGCTGGCAAGATCAGCATGGTGCTAGACAAACCTTGAGAGCTTAGTACCTAGATGAGTCCAAGAAATGGTGGCTAAATGATTTGATCCCTGTAGCCCTGGGGAAAGCTTATAACCTACTCCCTCATTTAATGTAGTAAAGGCCAACATTACCACTTTCCTTTATGGTTATTTGGAAGACCAATTTCTTCTTTAGTTAGTTCTCCAGATGTGTTTATATAGAGAACTGAGCCCACCTCCCCATCATATTAAGCTTGAAGGAGATTGTATATTCCACCTGGTCAACCTTCTCTTAGATTTATTTTGTTTAGCAATAGGTTTGCTAACTACATTGCTCTCAAGAGTATATTGGAATCTCAGGTGGCTATTTCATGCATACCACTTTTGAGCTAATTTATCAACAGAGGCAATTGAGTTCCAGTTCTACATATTTTTTCAAACTATATCTAACTCTACGCTTAAATGAAATTATTCCTCTACACACTTAATAGGTAGAGGTAGTAAAGTATACTGAACTTCTGGAATAAACATAGACTATGTTTAACATAAACAGAAATTATGATCCTAAACTGTGTGCCAGGTTACAGTGCGTATTCATTCATTTCTAAACCTTAGTGTATCGATTTACTGAAATAATAGCAGGAAAGAAGCATCATAAGGACTATGTGAAATTTAGTCTCAAACATACAATACAAACTATTCCAACTTTACTTACCTGACGAGAAAATCCCTTCTCTGTATTTGCTTGGCCAATTGTTATTTTCCTGAGGAATCTATCATTTGTATCCACCACTGAAAGGAAAACAAAAAGCTGAAACATTTGCTAAAGTATCACATCCTCTGTTCTTCTACCAAAACAGCATGGGAAATGTCTGCATATCTCACCCTGTAAATATGATATATTACAGATATAATTTAAACATGCACACATTTCATGATCTTTAATGCGTGTTATTCTTCTTTTGAAAGGCTATGGAAGCAAGGAACTGGGGCAAGACACAGCAGCAGAAGCTTTTGGATGGTTGAATTTTTGCTGCAAACTCTTCCATGGGGCTAGAACAATGATATTATTGCAATGCAATGATTACAGAACGTTTATAATACTTCTTCTGGAATGCAAATCATTTAACATTTTAACGTAGACACAAAACCAAAAGGCACTTCAAAATATTACTTAGCAAAATCTCAAAATCATATGAAAAAAAAGCTTCTATAAAATTATTTGCTCTAAATGTTGTCCATAGGAGAGCTTAACCTTTCAGTTACAAAGATGGCATGACCTTTCTTAAGAATTCCCCCCAAACTGAGCATTTTTCTGACCATTCATAATTAGAATCTCATTTTTAATTAAAAATGTTTGTAGAACGATCCAAATTACCCTTGCAGCCAATCACTGTTGGAAATGTTATAATTTGAGAAATTTAAAGGCTCTGTTAATACTTGGATGAGAGATCTCCAGGGAATACCAAAGCTGTAGGCTAGATTGTTAGGCAAAAAAATAAAAATAAAATAAAATAAAAATGTCTCAGAAGAAGGAAGATCAAACTGCTTCCGTATTGCTACCAAGAAAACAACACTGACATGTCCATGAAGTTACCAGGAGTTAAACCCAACTTGAAAGACGCTTTATCATTTAGATTAACAAAGAACATGAGTATGCTTTAAATGGTCTTTTTTAGGTACTGTGTTTTTATTCTGTTTGCTGCCCAGAGTTCCCTCTGGTGGATGGTGGTTGTGTAAGTTTGTTCAATAAATAAATAAATAAATAAATAAAATAAAATAAAATAAAATAAAAACAAAAACTTGGAAGAACATGCTGTTCTACTGCAACATAGAATGCAGAAATTTAAGGAAGCCTTTTGTTTAATAAGACATTATATGGTATTTTGATTCAATATGTACATGGAAAAAAAAACACCACTAACTTACAAAGATCAAACAGGCTTTCTGCAATAACTTTTTATAGGCCACAAATACAGAATGTTTTAAAAACTCATGAGTTGCAGATATTTTCTTGATGGTTTCGCATTTGTGCTTCCCATTCTGGAGCTGTTGAAGACAGACTATTTTCACCTTGCAATACCATGGAAGAAGAATGCAGTGACCAGTTCATAGGGGTGTTCCATACTACATTTAAAATGAGGACAAGTTTATAATTTTTTTGATAGGGTGTATGCATGGATAGGTAATTGGAATTGTGCAACCTAGATTTACTTGCCTCTTACCAAAACTCATTATATATTTGTTCTATGTTTAGTTAGTATGCTAAAGTCCATGTATCCATCTGCTGGATAGATACTTCCACTCTATGACCACAGTCAGCCTGTGATAGCCTTAGATTTGATGACAGCAGGAACACAGGGCCACACACAAGCAGATGTGCACAGGGCTCTTCCAGACAGACAGAAATCATGGTCAGTCAGGGTCCTGACTGCATGGAAGAAGCATAAATATCTGTTATTAGTTGCAGTGATGAAAATAATGGTGAAATGTGTGTTGTGATGTCTTAAGGCAAATCCTACCCTTTTGTATTTCATCCTAACATCAGAAAAAATATATAAGTCACAGGTTTGCCTGCTCCCTCCACAGATGCCTACTGGAGAAAGTCTGCATCCAACACTATTATGTAAGTTCCCTTCATCCAATTCTAAACGCAGGCTTATCAGGAGGTGGGACCTGTGAGTATCAGAAGTAGACTGTAGCTAGAATACTTGGTCCTAATACTTTCACACACTCACAAAACATGGGTGTTTCTGAGAACACAAAGTTTATACTTTTTATCTTACCTATTACCAAGCCATTATTTATGATTGACACCAACCCTCTCCTCCCCTTTCCAGTTTCTGCAGTATTGTGAAAAATGAAGGAAATCAAGGATAGTTACACCATGGCTTGCCTTGTAAGTGCTGACTATGCTTTTATTGGGCAGGGGGGATTCTTACAGCTGGATCTTTCACATTCTCACATTCTGCAAATTTGCTGAGAATTGCAAAAAGCTTAAGGAATGGGAAGAACATTTACACAGCTTTTATTCTGGGTCTTTGTAGATCTTTAGCCCAGAGCACGAAAACCATGAGTTAAAAGGAAAAAAAAGGGAAAGTTTGTGACATTTCCAGTTCTGAAAATTCAAAATATAGAACATATAGGAAAAAACAAGATTATACTTATTAACATAACACCAAAATACCAATAAGAATAGTACCAGACTTTGCTCTGCTCCCAGAGCTCATCATCAAGTAACAAAAGGTATTTGAGCAAATGCATAGACTTCTTTTCCTCTTCACTGAATAACTACAATCAGTTTTGAGAAGAAACTTTTGCCAAAAACTGTATACAAAACTCTGCTTCTTTCAAAAATAATTGTTTATGTTGTGGTTCCCGAAGGCATCTAGTTGATGACTTATGCAAGAGCAGAGTGGACTAGATGGAGGCTCCTTTTGTTCTAACACCTACCCCTTTGCCATGTTATTGTAGATGTGTCTATATCAAGTCGCACAAATCTGTTAATCTCATCTGCGGTTAACGTATCAGGATCTATTTTGGTTATTCCCAGCCTCTAAAAACAAATAAAGAGAAAGAGATAGGAACACATATACAACTCACTTAGACACCCCACCATAGTACACGTAGTATCCTATTCAGGGCATGTAACTGCTTCTCATACATGCCAAATTGTGTCTACAGTGCTCCCAAAGCCTGATCTGATCCACTGCATTTTTTTTCTAATGTAGAAATCAAGCAGACAGAGGTTTATGTGACAGATATTTCAACTGGGTTCTAATTTTCTTTTCCACTGGAAGAAGAAAGAGGAGGAAAAGCAGTGTCAACTATCATTCATACATTTTGGGAATGAAGTTTGAAGTTAGCATGAAACAAACCATACCAAAAATGGTTGAAAGATTGTGAAAGAAGCTACAAGCCCTATCAACCAATTGCTACATACAATGTAAGGTGATGAACATGTCTATAGGATACTGCGTGGTGAAGGTTTGCCTTAATGAGCACAATACTCCACTGAAGTTCAGCCATCTTTATGATAAACCAGATAAAAGGTTGTGAGAGGAAGACTGTTGGGATCAGAGACTCCTCAGTGTAGCAAAAGTAGTCTGGATCCAGCTGCCTATGGGGCTCACCTCCATCCTGTAGATATCCAGTAGACCTAACAGTGAAACTGCTAATAAGAGCCTCAACAAGAGGCAGTTATTGAATCTTCAATGTATGTAGTTAAACGGATATCTTGAATGGCCTGCTTAAGTTAATCTTTAGCAGATAAGACTGTTGTATATGGAGAACAGGATCAGATACCAATCCTTTCCTAATTCTGTAGGGCATGAAAAATGGAAGAGGGGAACTGAATTCCAAGTTCTTTTACCTTTCTTTTGATTACAATGGTTCTTTCCCGGCCACTTCTTCTTTGTTGCTAAAAGGCCCAGGAAATTCTTACTAATATACATCCTTGAATTTAGTCAATGCACTACTAATAACTTAGATGTCCAAAATGTAAAGCAAGAAGAAGAAACCTGGGAAAAATATCATTGTAAAAATATTTTTAATGGCTTATCCCAGAAGACCCCAATTAGGTGCCTTTGTGTCAACCCTAGCCAGCACTGACCAGTAGCATGCTAATTGGAGAGGACAAAAAGTATAATCCAACACAACTGAAGGGTACCACATTGGGGAAAGCCGGCTTATCCCACATAAGCATCTCCAAGTGTTACTCTATGGCAGGTATAAATGTATACCTCATCTTATCCCATTTTATTTTCAACATAACAACTGGGCATTCCAAAATGCAAGTGATAGTTAAAAATAAAGAGCACTTTTGAGTATTTGTTCTTGGAGCTCTTGGAGTATTTGCAGCCATCCAATGCCATTCTATGGTTATCAAAAGTGCTAGCTGGCCCCACAAATTAAGCTTTCATGTTATCTAAATCAACATGTTGCAATTATTATTAATCAAGATTTGATATCAAATGTATTCTAATTAGTACAATTATAATTTCCATTCCAAACTGGGTTCTTTCTCTTTCCTTCACTTTCTCAAAAAAGACATTTAGCAGCATTTTAAGCAACTGTAATAATCTTAGCATAAGATTAGCGAAATTAAATACATTCAGTACATTTACATACAAAAATGTGTGGCAGAATGGTTTTCCTGTGCAAGACTGAGAAACATAATCAATAAAATTTACTAATTCCTGGAGAAGATGTTTAATTGTTAAGATAGATAACCGCCTGCTCCTTGTTTTACATTTCCTGTCTGCTATTTGTATTCTGAAAAAAAAATCTGCAACACCAGTGAGAAAAATCAGTGGATTTCCACAAGATATCTACATAATCTTTTCAACATCCTCCTATCCAAGTAGTAAGTGGCACTAATTTAAAGATTTCTCCAGCTTCTTAAATAATCTTGAAGCACACAATTACTCTGAGTCTACCTTGCTTTTTGCAAAGATGTGGGGAGTCTATACACAACCATTTTTTCTCCACCCTCACATGGTCATTTGGAGCTTGGTAGTCGATATTTTTTATTTACCTCAAGATCCTTTGGACTGTAACTTAATGCTACCAACCACTTTTTAACAAAATGTAAAAATGTAAAAATGTCAATTGCTGAAAGCACATGAAAATGCCTTCCTGTTGCTCTCTTTCAGAGGACACACAATTCTATATGGTGGAAACATGATAGTTACATTTATTTCATTCTATTCTTGTGTGTAAGCATGCCTGCCTTTATTAGAATCCTCCTCATCATCATCTTATAAAAATCTGAGCCAACTTTATGTTTTAATTTAAAAAAGAAAAGACCAAACCAATGTCTTCTAAAAGAATCTCAGATATTCCTTAAAGTTTAAAAATGACTTACTTTCATACGTGCAAGCTGTATAGCTGAAAATTTCCTTTCTCCATGAACTAATGGAACCAATCTATTATATAAGGCCTGTAAGAACATAAAAGTAAAAATCAGTAAGAAAAGTGCTAGTCCCATCAGGTATTATAGATAGATAACTTTCTCTATAATGAATCTGCTCATAGTTCTGTTCAAACTTTCTGCGCATGTTCCAATGATGCTCCAAATGAGCCTCCATTTATTGTAGCTTCTGAGACAATTTCCCCTCTTTTTAAAAGGAATAAAAATCAGGTGCTATAAAATGAGTTGTTGTCATAATTAGTAAAATGCATGTGAATGGGAAAGGAGGGCTTTGGCAGAGATATGTTGTACTTCCTCTGAAAACCTTATCAGTATGTGCCAGGTTTAGGAGGCAGAATTGCATTTACTATAACTCTTTCTTTAAGTACAGCATTTATTTAACCACCACCACCACCCCCTTGGAGGCTTTATGACAGGGAATCTAATTTCTTCCTTGTCTAATGCCTTAAGTAGTCCAGCCCTGGAAACTAGGTCTGTTAGTTACACAACAGATTGGAACTAATTTTTGAGTCATTCAAAAGCAGTCTTCCCCAAACTCGGTTCTCTCCCTAAGTGTTGCATTGCAACTCCCAGAACTGAGAGATGGCCACAGCTTTGTTGTCCATCACTTTGTCTTATAGTCCATCACTTTGTCTTATAGCTCCCATTCCTTGTTTGCACCAAATGTGAAAGGCAATTCAAAAGAGAAAGGGAAAATCAAACTAAAGCGTATATAATGTTGAATCTAAGCATAGAACTAACCCTTATCCTATGACTTTGCAATCAAAACTCTCTGCATTTCAAGAGAAACATGCAATTCAACATTTATTTCAACATTAAAATGCTTTATGAGAACATGCAGTGCATATAACAATTACACTTACAGATCTGAAATGTGGCATGTCACAATTAACAGACTGTGCTGGATGTAATGAGCTGTATCTTTTCCAGCCCAAAGATTTCTGTATATGCATGGGATCACTATCAATGGTGCAACATACCTATCTTTCTCAAAATACGAATACCTGAATGGGCAACTGGGCCTCTGCATCTGTACAGAGTTTTGGGTCATTTCTAATAATATACCACATGTCCAGGACAGCAACTTTAATATGAGAGATTTCATAATAAATTGTCTGATCCAAGCTTTCTATATTTGCACAACTCCATCAGCAGGAGCACCACAAACAATTTTTGAATTAAACAAGCAGAAATGAAAAGATGAGCTTCTGTACCACATAGATATCAAAGGCAAGGCATTAGGGCCAGCATGAGGAGTTCTTCCCAATTACAAAATGTTTAGGGACATCTTTTTTTGTTGTTGGTAATCTAAATACCTGGACCACTGCCCACTACACTGCATTCCAAGTTCTTTGAGTCCTAGTCAGACTGTCTGGAGCAGAGAAACAAATCCATTAATGTCTATAAGCATGAGCCAGAGTATGCACTGAATTCTTCTGCCTTCTCTTTTGAAAACAGTAGTAGCCCACAGAGCCAGCCCTGTTCTGCTGTATGTGTACGGTTTTTAAAAATTACGGCAGGGTCAGAAAGGGGTTGAAACCTTGAATTTTCTGTAATCATTTAAAAAAAACCTCCTTCATAATGCATTTTGATGGTAGGTAGGTAGGTAGGTAGGTAGGTAGGTAGGTAGGAAGGAAGGAAGGAAGGATTCAGAGGGAGTAAAACAGGGGAAAAACACCCCCAACTTTCTCTCTCCTCTACACAGGTCTCAGACCTTCACATTTCTAGCGGTCAATGATGAAATATTTGAAATGGTTTTAATTACTGTATCCTTAAAATTGCAGTTCACAGCGAATTACTGTGGAGTGAAGGATTACTCTTACCTTATCAGACTGAGTGTTCTCGTGTAGAATCCTAGCATCCATAGCAGCAGCTAGCAAATTATTTGCTGCAGTAATGGCATGAATATCACCAGTTAAGTGAAGGTTGAACTATATAGGAATGAAAAATGAAAAAGACATTCTTTTTGCATGCTCCATTAAACTAGTGTCAGTTGTTTCAACCCACTCAAACACTTTCACTTGTGAGATTAGTAGTTCAGATGAGCAGTTTGAAATATGAAATCATAACTGCCGTGGTTGAAGTGATTTACTACGCTATAGATGGTCTCAGTTCTGTGTTCAATAACTTAGTTCTCATGACCTAAGCAGAAATTCATACAGGAAAGTTGAAAATATTACTTCTTTTAATGTGGCAGGCTGTGGTTGATTCGCACAAATCTATTTAGAAATCATTTTGATTTATGATTTAAATACAGAGAAACAAAAATGGCACGTGCTTTAAAATAATTGCGTGAATCCACCTCAACTTCTATAAGAAAGAAAATTCTGGGTGGCAAGTAAAGCTCCTCAATATGTTTACTTCATTGTATAGTTTAATTAATGACCCTGAGAAAACTGTCTCAATCCAATGAATGAAATTATTCAGGATGGGCCCTGGTCCAAGCAGAGGAAGGGAGCTTTCTTGGGTAGAGGGCACTAGAAATTGGAGACGCAATTTCCTTCCAGGAGGCAATTCCTTCCTTGTTTTGGAAGCTCTTGCTGCATCTGGGCCTGGGCTGTCCTGAAATGCTACATCCTGCCCCAACTGCTTTCCAGCATGGTGGGAATTGCAAAGGTTGAAATAAGGTTCATCTTCCAGATTGATCAGCTTTTGTATACCAAAGAGGAAATGTGCACTCCGCCTCAAGCAGCAACCTACAGTGGGGCAAAAAAGTATTTAGTCAGCCACCAATTGTGCAAGTTCTCCCACTTAAAAAGATGAGAGAGGCCTGTAAT